AGGGACGCATTTCCTCCCTGGTCTCTTTGATCTGGCACTGCGAGCTTCTGGACCTCGGACAAGGCTGCCTTTCTTTGGCACAGTCTGCCGTCTCGAGGCTAACCTCCCTACTTAGCTCAGGGCATGCTGGATTTCACTTCAGTGGTTCTCTTTCCCTCTGCTTGTCGGGCAGAATGACGTGGAGGCGACCAAAGCAGCCCCGGTGATGAACTCTGCGAAGGCCGACCCGTCAGCAGCCACGGCGCCCCTCTCTGGCTCACTGGAAGATACAGAGATGAAGAAAGTGCTGGAGAAGTGCAAGAGGCTGCAAACTGAGATGAACAAGCTGGTTGAGGAGAACCGACAATTAAAGGTTAGACGTGTTGATAAGTAACACTCATGACCTGATTTACTTTATGGTTTCATTGTGCTTTTCATTCTAATGCTTTTACTATTGGATAAATCCAAGTTTTAAAGGAAAATGAAACTCAAAGAGAAAATAAGTGACTTGGAGTGGATGTTAAGTCTATAGAGGTTGAGTTTGGTGACCTTTAAACAAGTTGGCCAGATTTTATTTGTATGTTTATGCGTTTATACCTCAGATCTAATCACAATGCAAGCTTTATAAGAGATACAGATGTAGCATGTAATTACTGTGTGTAAATGCCCTCATTTAACACGTTGCGTGACAGTGAATCTCCTGTCCTCAAGATTCCTCCAGAATGTCTTCTCATCTCTAGCTCTTTCAAAGCATCTGTATTTGACAGTACAGTAATTAAATTATGTCAATCATGTCAAAATGTGTAAAAATATATACATATATATTGTGGTTTTGTAAAAGCACTCAAACTGAGTGCCCGCTGTGTTTACATAATGAAAGCTTCAGACGCAATAAAATGATTTGAAGCCTGAAGCCTGCATTCAAGGCACCTGCAGTTCAACAGTTGAAGAGTAATGCTCACAGAAAAATGTTTGTCTTGTTGGTGGTAAGTTGGCTAACTCTGTCACTAACAGTTATCGTTCGCTAGGTATTTCATTAACGCTCCCTTGCAGGTGAAAAAATTAGTTATTGTTGGATTCATTCATTTTATTTATATATTTTTTTACATTTATGGCAGCTTCATGAATATTCTTTTTGATAGTAATGCCTACTCACATCCACCAGACATGCAAAGAGAACAGAGCTGCGCTGGAGGCATCCCATCTAATCAGGCTCAACATGGCCAAGGCAACGAAGCCTCACTTTATTGGAGAAGAGCCCATTAAACCATGCTTATATGGTCTGGCTGAAAAATTGACACAGTTGCCAAAAGATTACAACATGTGTCAGAAGACATTTAAAAAAAATCAGTTGTAGGAAAAATGTTGGAATTCCAATTACACTGCAATTAGATTAAACCGAAGATGTAGCTGGAATTCTTCAGTTAATGCCAGATACATATGTGATGGTGAAATCAATGAGGAATGTCTTCTCTTTGATCAGCTGCAAGCATCCACCTAGAGAGGACATTTTCAGGATGTTAGACACTCAGTTCAAAGATTTAAACTTCTTCTACTTGATTGGATGAAATGTGTTGGAATCTGTACAGAGCGGTGCCCAATGTGAGGGCTGGCCAGCAAAGTACTTCAGAGAACCTTAGGTGAGGATTTTTGACTCTAGAGACCCGTGCAGTACTGATCTGCTGACTTCCTCTGTTGCAGGATGATGGCATTAGAATGAGAAAGACACCCCGCTCAGACCACATGACATCAAACTCAACTAGTCTCCTCGGCCGAGAAGCCAGCACCGCCTCCCTGCCCTCCCTCCTTGTCGTCATAGCGGCCATCTTCATCGGATTCTTCCTAGGGAAGTTCATCTTGTAGACTGGGAGATGCATGCCGGCCGTATCCCCCCTGCCCCGGCTCCGGAATGAAACAGGCCTGGAAAAACCGAGAAGTCTTTCTGTTGACTTTGCCATATCATTGGTAGTGTGGCCTACAGTGAACACATCTGTACAGCATCATTCGAAGGCGTCGCCTTTTTACAATCTCACACCGTTAGTACACAGAGAGTTGAGAAAAGAAAGGCGACAAAAAAGTGATTGCTCCCTTTTTTGTTTTCTGTTTTTTGAGGGCTACAGGTAATGTGCCGGGACAATGAAAGTTGTATACTATGAGTCAACATGGAAGTTGCACCTAGAGTGAACCATGGGCAAGAGGCAGTCAAAACATTAGATCTTTTTTTTCTCTCTCTCTGTTGTTTTTATTAGGAATTGAATGGAATGTTAGGTGTCTTGTAAATGTTGTTTTAAATCCTTTTAAACAAAAAAGGAAATAACTTCCATCAAAAAGACCTTGCTACCTGTTGCTGGATTGCCTCTGAAGTAATTTGTTCAGTTTGTAATTTCTACTACTTGTCTTGGAACGTTCAGGTCCAGCTGCAGATATAGGTGCCTCCTCCCTGTACATTTCTGTCCTTTCCTTTTCCTCACAACACCAATGCAGACTTTATTATTATTATTATTACTATTATATATACAAATGATATATTCATTCTGAGGCAAAAATATTGACTGAAATAAGGTCTCCATTCTTAAAATCCTGTCCCATGGTATTAAGCATTGAAAAAAATAAAAATGAGAGTGTGGTTTCGATGGCGATCTTTTCCTGTCTCTTCCCCCTACATTGATGCACCCTCATTCTGTTTTTTGATGTCATAAAAATGAGTATACTGCGTTTGTGTGCCAAGATTTGTCAGCCAATAGAAATTTAAGATTGGCTGCTTTTTCTTACAAGGACAAAGTACAATAATTACACTTGACAGCTATTATTCAGACCTCAACCTCAGACATCTGCTCATTATGAGCTTGAAATAAAGAAAATTCAGTTATCTTGCATACGTAATTTACAGACCGGCACGAGGTGGAAGTTTGGATCTCTCTTGGGTTCTACTACTTTTAAATTGACTTAGGAAGGGAGGATATTCTTATATTTTCATGGTTACATCTTGCACAAAATAGGGGCTGTTGCTCGTTATTTCTGAGGTTCTGCCAAGGCACTTTGGTACCTTTTTTGGTACATTATGGCATTCTGAATGACCAAATCTACAGTTGTCATTTGGCTCCAAACTTCACTTGTTTCAGCATGTTGGTTAAACTACAGAACCTTCTCTACAAGACGCTTATTTTCCCCAAAAGTGAAACCTGTAATCATTTTATTAAAGCGTCAAGTAATATGATTCATACTGACTCGCGGAGAACAGCGTAGCGTGGGAAAAGGCCACTGGTTTTCAAAAAGAGAAATTCTACTTGGCAGCAGAGAGGGGGAAAATAACATGTTACAAACTTTACTGAGACTAAGATGATGGTGTGAGACAAGCTGAACGCTACATGATTGTAAATATGAGGCAACAGAGGAGCTGCAATTGGAGAACCAGTTCTTCATCGGGATTCAATGGTTGAAATATCGTCAGCGTATCACAGGTATACCAGCATGCCAGCTAAAACTGCTGTGCGGAAATGCCAAAGATAAGTTCGCAGTTGTTTAGAAAGTGTGGGGGGGGAATACCCATTGTATGTGTTGTGATTAGAGAAGGCTCTTTCATTTACAGGCCTGATTTTGTTTACTCTCAATAACTGGCCAGATTTTCAACATGCCATTCAAACTGTTTAAAGTGTTGCTGCCAATTAAACTTCAGAAAGAGAAAGCAAAATGTCCTAAGAAACTGAATTAGAAGCTACACTCAGAAAACCATAGCCATATTTCGTATGCATCCAGACTCGTTTTAGCATTTCAGTTTTGCAATGTGAACACACTACATACCCAAGACCTGCTTAGAATTAATAAGCAGTATAGTTTTGGGTCCCACTGTAATTTTATGATGTCATTTTAAGGTAATTTGCTCACCGCTGCAGTACAGTAGATATATGTGGTAAATTTAAGAGAAATGTCATGTTTTGGTATCACACTTTCAGTAACAGAGATTCGCTTTATGCTTTAAAACATATTTTTTTTTACAATTATACAGTTATTTATTCTTTGTGATTTTAAGGAGTTTTTTCAAACCCCCACCTGGTTTTCTGTCGTCTCCAGCACAGCGGTTTATGTTATGGTTCCTGTGCTCATAATCGCATGGTGAAAAATACATAATGCAAGAGACCGATTTCAATTATCTACCAATTGGAGTCTCAACATGGAAAACATCCCCATGTATTCTTTGTGGGATGCAGTGATATGAAAGCAGCAATACAACAGTGCAGAAACACTATATTGCAAGTAAAAACAAAAAAACAATCAAAACATACTCATACCAAAAGTAAAAGTACTCTTTAAACAGAGTTGCTCATTTCAGAATAATATATATTATGTAATTGGATTACAATTATTGATGCGTTTATTTGTAAGCATCACTTTAATGTTGCAGCTGGCAAAGGTGGAGCCAATTATAACAAATTTATATACTACCAGGTTGCTTAATATATAATATTACATCATAATTAACTTGATTGAATTGGTTTACTAATTTGAATCTGCAAGTCAAATAAATGTGGTGCAGTAAAAAGTACAATATTTCCCTCTGAAATGTAGTGATGAAGAAGTATTAAGTTACATAATAAAAATACTCAAGAATAGTACTTCAATAAACATACTTTCCACCACTGGCAGTACTTCAGAGGAAATGTAAGAAGTCACCAAATTAAAGTGTTTGAGAGAAAGTGTGTGCACCCAAAAAGTTAATTATAATTCCTCAAAATTAATTGCACTGAACACCTCAGAATAATGATGACATCTAAGCGTTTTAACAGTATGAGGGTGGAGTTTACTTCCGACTGATTATACTTGGCAGCTCTAAATGTAGAACTCCCACCTCGTAAGTCTACTCCCCAAATGCATGAAAAACCAAGGTGTTTTAAATGCTCTACTGGGCACTATAACATCTTATAAAAGGATTAACAGTTCCCTGTTGGATGTTCAGTATGTACAATATATAAATCTGCCATACTGATATAACCTTTCCATATGAACAAAAAATTACATTTAGGTAAATGTTAAAGAGTATCAAACCTTTAATCTTATACATGTATCCAGTTATAGACAGTTGATGGAGTCTAATGCAATCTGGGAAAGAGATTCTGCATAATCAATGACAAACTGGCTAAAAGAAATTATTGTCATTTAGATTTTCCATTGCAGAAAGAGTATGCTGTGACAGTTCATAATTTCTCTGTTGTAACCATTTGAAAGTTCTGGTACGGGAGAAGCATGCTGGTAAGTTCCCAAACAGGTCCACGATCCAGAGCGGTGATGGCAGGGACGACATTTTCAGACTGATGACGACATCGCAGGGACCTTCATAAAGATTGTAATGAAGATCAAGTGGAGGACTGAAGGGTGCTGATACTGTGCCATACCTGATGGCCTTAATCCCATGGAAGGTATTTTGAATTTATTACATTCTCAAGCTTCGAAACGACCTTGAGGAGAAAAGAGCACTCATCTTGTTATTATATAATGTTATTCCACAGGTTCCTTGCTGGACGACTTTTTGAAAAGGAGCTACACAATCCAGACAGGTAATGTGACATACTATACAGTGCTTAGTAAACAGAATCTATCCTTTGTTACAATTACATAAATGTCCAATTGTTCTATTTAAAAAAAACCAACCAATCATGAAGAACTCCCTTTTCCAAATTTTTGAAAACAGCGGTCTAAGTTCATCGAATTCAAAGAAGCCTGAAACAATTAACCGGAAAATCTTAAATTCCTGTTCAGACCTTCAGTATTTATTGTTACAACATTTTTTAAAGCTCCAACGCTTATAGCAGAGACGTAGAAAATTACTGTGGAAGAAAAATAAACGACAACTTAGGGGGATTTCCTGCTTGAAAGTGGCAGTAGCTTTGAAGTCGCAGTTTGATTTGATGTCCGCAAGTTAAATCCTTTCTTCATTTCCTGTCAGCCCAACAAAAATGATCAGCCAACAGTAAATTCTTACTCTGACTGCCTAGATAGTTCACTATGAAAATGAATGATATTATCTTTTATCATGGAGTTAAGCTACAACTAGCCCCCCAACCAGACCCAAATGTATGTATGTATTATTATAGTTGTAGGTGATGACAGTTTCAGTTTGCGTCTTGAAAACACAAACCCATTTTATATAAACAAACCATGTTACAGTTAATAATCGCATGTGAAACTGGGCAACAATTAGTTTTTTTCATTTATAGATATGTATAGAATCACACTGTGATGATATGATCACGTTGTAGTACAGTTTTGCAAAACTTCTACTGCTTATTTATAAAAATGAACACATTTTACACGTGTGAAGTATTTTGTGCATGTACAATGGTGGAACACATTTCATTGCATTAACTTGATTATTGCAAATACAGAGAGTATTGATATTTACCATGAAATAGTCTGAGCATGACAAAATTTCAAAATAGCCCCAATGGAAATAAGGTCGAGCGTCGGCCAGTGAAGATGCAGCTATCTGATCAGTGAGGGAATAAAAATGTTTCTCTTCAGAACAGTGGTTCTGAAACTGGGGGGCGTAGAGCCACTGCAGGGAGGGTGGAATGAACATGATTTATGTAGTGACGTGAAAAACAAGAGAGGGGGAGGGGTGACTTTTTTTTGGCGTCTGATGGGGAGCATGACAGAAAAAGTTGCACAGGAGAAGATAACTACCTGCCGATTAAGTTTTATTGTATTCAAAACAGTATGATCTCCATGTGGAAAAGATGATGGATAACTGCAGCTGAGTTCACCATACTGTAAGACTATACTGTAATAAGTAGTGTAGTTCCCTTTTACTGTAAACAGTGACTATCCACAAGCACATCTCCTCCAGACAGGGAGCTTCTTGTCAAGAGTTCATTGTAGAAAAAGTTTCCACACATCAAATCGTGTCTTTTTGCAGTACCAAACAATGACTTGATAGCTGTAGGTAAATACACTGTATAAAACATACTCTCAGGTCTATGTGGATATATATATATATATATATATACATACACACATCTTTGTATATTTGTGGAAACACAGACAGGTTGGTCTTTAGTTCCACTCTAAAGTGCAGTTTCTTTGGTGCAGCAGTATCGAGTCTTTGGTAGCTGGGTTCAGAGGATCAGGAGCACCAGTTTTCATCCAAAAGCTGCTATTTTAACAGGCAGTCTCCCTGTCCGCTCATGTAATCCACACTCGTCTTGTTGAGTCTTTCTGTAGAAAAAGCACAAACTGCTCTCTAGCTTTGCCAACAGAGAAGCAGAGATGTGACGAATGCGACAAGAGCCACCGTGACGTGTTTTTGGCTGCCTCTGTGCCACCCTGTGCAGTCATTGTGGTGCAGCAGAGGCCTGTCGCTGTCGTCCACTCTGCTGTAGTCGGACTGGCTGCTTGCTGAACACTGCACCAGGGGCATCTGGTAGGAAGTGGCCCGCTTCTCTGGCCGGTCCGGGCTGGAGCCATCGCTGGGACGCTGGGCGTTGTAGAGCAGGTAGCGGCCGTGAGTGTCCTGCTCCATGCGGAAAAGCTCATACTCTGTGTGGGGGAGCCGGATGCCCAGAGCCACGCAGCCGTTGGTTTGGGTGACATCCTGCTCCACCCCGACCTGCCAGGACCCTTGCACTCCACATTCGTTACCATTGAAGACGTTGAGGAGGGAGGTGGTGGCTACGTCCATGGGAGTTACTCTCATATGGTTCACTAGAGGAAGAAACAAAAGACCTGTTAGCAGCAATCACTTCTTAAAGAGTTACCAAGAGTATGTTGGTACCACTGGGACCGATGAATTCATTAATTTCTTTGACCTAAACTCAGCCTTTATTATGAAACTGAGACATTGAACTCAGTCCCCCACAATCCTCCAGTTATTCACACCTAAGTATGAACTCACGGACCCAGCTTTCAGCTACCATTACTCAGTGTGACCTATGATGTCATCAGGTCAGTGAAAGGGTCAGCTGCCCTTTGTACACTTCATCTGCCAACAGCAGAAGCCGTCTTCCAGCGTGTCCAGGGCAGACAAGCAGCTGATCTTACAGCAGCGCTGCAAGAGCTTTCCCTGCAAGATCCCTGCAACAAGTTTAGTTAGCGTGAGTGGCTACAACACAGAGTCAATGTACTTGGCTAAGCACAGGACTTTTCTGTCACGGTCTGGCTCTGTCTGAAGGTCATAAACCACCCTACTAGCATCTCTAATGTCATACGTTATATTGCATTTGTTTAATGTGAATAAAAACTGAAGTGTAAAAACAACCTGCTGTGGTTATGTGTGCGATTGTTTGTAACTCCCTGGAGTCTCTGGTGTTTGCCCGTTATCCTAATGGTGAACACAAGACTCCAGGAAGTCACTGCACATAATCCCCCCTCCCCTAAATTGTTGTTTTTGTATGAATTAAACAAGATCCAGTATAATTAGTTACTTACAGAGCTTTAGAGGGGCTGATAGGCAGATTTTACCTGCTGGCTCCAGTTACATATTTACAGCACAGGATAACCGAATACACATTTTCCCACGATGCCAAACCATTTCTTTCAACTTATCTGTTATAAAGAGTAGTAAAAAAGTAAAAAAAGTTGCATCCACCATAAAAAAAGACAAGTAGAAACATAGTGTACTGCACCATATGGCTGCATTGATCACCTGATGAATTAGGTTAAATTGTATATAACATAAACTTATGGTTGCTTTATTTTGTGATGGAGAGCAGACAGGTCTTTTTATGGTTCTGCTGGAAATGCTGCAGATCAAACTCTGGTGAAAAGTGAGCAGAACCAAGTCTCTTTTGAGACATCTTGGTATTTGTAAGACCAGAAAATATCAGCCAGTTTACCTTTAAAGACAAAGTCTGTCCCACCCATGACGCGGGTGGAGTGAAGCCCTCGGCTGTAGCGTCCGCGGGCGTAGATGGTGAAGGTGGGGTGTTTACAGATGGGGTCAGAGTAGTGGTAGTAGTGGCCCTCCCAGGTGTGGTTATTGTCATGGAAGATGAAATGACGGGTGAGGAAGAGGACCTCAGGGCGGACTTCGCAGCGCTGGCTCACCCACTGACCGTACAGCCCGACAGTCAGGTCGGCCCGTGGCGGCAGGATGGGAGGGTGGAACTCATCTGAGCGGAAGATGATACGACAGGCGATGCAGCCATGATCATGGTTCTGAAAAAAAGGGAGGGGAACGGTGTGAGAGTTCAAATTTTTCTACTTGAGCAAGAAATTAGCATGACGCTTTGTTGCGAAAGCCGTCAGCGGTGAGATTGTCCGGACGTCAGTGATTGCTGCTAAACTACGGGGAAGTGTAGAAGAAAGAGCCGGGTGCAGCGCTGCAGCTTTTGGACAAATAAACACACACAGTCGATCTGGATTATGCTCTGTCAACTACGCTGTTTACCCGCGGGAGGAGCTCAGAGTTAACTAACTGCTTTTATTAAATTAGCTCTAGTTTTTGGGATTACAGCGTTGATCTATCTTCACTTGCACTTCTCAGCAGCAAGCTTCCGTGCATTTCCGGTTCCACTGTTGTTGTTAGCGTCGGTTGGCACACAGAGCTCTGTTGGACTACGACTTCATATTTATATAAAAACCAGACAAAACTGGACATTACTTGGAGAAAAGAAAGCGAGGAAGTTGAACTACCTGGTGAGTTCAGAAAATATGTGTCTGTAATTTTATTCCAGCTATCGTTGTACTTTACGGTGAACAAGTTAGCATAGCAGCAACTCCATTCAGAAAACAACCAATTAAAAAGTTATTGTCCTGCTGACAGACCTGACAAAGCACAAGTTCATATGTCTAACAAATCGGCATCATATTGCAGTTATTTGGCAATTGCAATAAACAAATCAGTTTGATCCGTTTATTGCAATTAAATCCCAGCAAAATGTTTACTTTCGGTTCATACAGCTGTAGTAATCACAGGTTGTGTTTATTCGTGTTATATGTTGTGTGTGAACACTCAGCAGTTGTCCAGTGATCAAACCCCCATGAGGAAAGCATTGCAAGTATTAAATTTGCGCTGTATGTGTGTTCACATACAACACAAATTTAATACAAACACAATCTAATATTAACACAGTTGTGTAAAAAGTTTTTTTTTTAATATAACAAGACCCCAAAGGGCCTGAGACTTTGGTGATTAACCTTTCATACAATAAAAATCAGCTGTTGAATCTGTTAATTGTTTACAAACTCTAAGCTGAAGTTCCCACCCGAGCATCACCATGAAAATCCAGAAATCTGTCAGTGCTGAAAGTATATTGTATCATGAAATCCACATAAAAAGTCTTCTGGCGTCTGTTCAGAGATGAAGGCGGAAAAACTATTTCCTTCAGTCTGAACCTCTTGAGTGTTGGAAGCCAGACAAGGTTCCAGCATTTTCTCAGGGTGATCACATCATTTTACTGTAAAAGACAGATGTCTGGTCAAACTAAAGCCGAAACAACAGGAAGTCACACAGCGACCAGCGAGCTGAGCTTTCATACTACATAAAAGCAACCGTGGGACGTCTTTTATTCACCCTCATATTGACAAAAAGGTTTATATGTATAAATGACCATTAATCATATTCAGTTCATATGTTGTCTGGTTTAGTGGAGCCCCGGATCAGCATGTGACCACAGCATCCACAGATAGCTGTCTCTAGCTGGAGAAAATACTTGAGGGCCTGACGGGTTCAGAGCTGGAAGCCTATACATATACTGTATTTCACAAAACTCCAAGGACCAAACTCCAGGGAGGCGGTGGAGTTTTTGGTATTTGAGGGTGGTCAAAATTTAAGACCCAACCCAATCAACTCTTGTCCCAGACAACACTATGTCCCGCATGAGTTAAAAAAAAAAAAATGAAAGAAGAAGGAGGGAAAAAAGCAGGAGTATCACTACATCCTACAATCCCGGTGCAGCTCCATAACCGCCTCAGAGTGAGAGGTTAATGACACGACTGGAAGGGAGGCCTCTTGTGAATCCAGCCCTGTGCGTAAGAGAGCATAGTGTATATTTTGGGTGTGTATCTTAGCACTTGTGCATCTATGTTTGTGCGTATGAGTAAGAAATAAATACAGCATGCAGAGAGATATGTAAGAGTTTCTGATGCAGGTGTGGAAAACATGTTCCTGATCTGCAGGAACCCATGAAACACACACAGCCTGCCTATGGGTTCTCATCTCTACCCTTTTTGAATGTACCACTGATTATCTAAAGCAATGAATAGCGTACGCAAGGATGTAGGTTTGGTTTCAGAAGGTGTGTTGTATAAGCATTTAAAATGAGAACAAGAAATCAGCCTGAAACAATAAATGTGAGGGGACATGCACCCCCCTCCCAAATGCATCCATGAGTGCAGCATATAAAAAAGGTTAATATGTTAGTTTGTAATCAAGCAGTAATCACCACACAGTGTTGAAGCCAGTTCAGAGGTGCCTTAGGTGAACTTTACACAACCCAATATTTGTGCAATTATATGCAGGCTGCAAATAAAAGTTTTACTGTTGTGACACCACACTTATCTCAAACATTTAAACTAATGATTCAAACCCAATTTATGGTTTTTACTGGGCGGTTCTTCGACTGAGAACATTTTCACAGAACTGGAGTTGAACCATGTAAATAAAAACTAAAGCTGATGATAAGCGGAGCAGCTTTTAGAGCAATGGTGCTGGGCAATGTTGCCGTCAAGGGCAATGAGTAAAGATTACTCCCGTAATAAATCTGCCTACCAGCAGCTCTAAGACTCGTTAGAACTTATATGTAATTGTGGAGTCCATCCACAGTGACTACCTGTTAAGACACAAATTCGAAGTGTTTTGCTTCATATGCAACTCCCAGCAAGAAGGACAATATTTCCCAGAATATCAAACAATGTCTTTAGGGTTTCACAGGGTTGTTTTGGGCCAAGAGCTCAAGCCTGAGAGACTTGTTAACTAAGGCAAAAACATTGTGGTTGCCATTTGCTTGTCTCACATCAGCTTATTGTTCAAATTTGGGTTTGGGGGCCAAGATGGTTATAAGACCTAAAGTGAACTTTAAGGGTGCTTCAGTTCCACATGAGCACATCATGATGTCTTTCCCTCGTCTCCCTTCTGCCCAAATCAGATGTAAAAGAAGTGAGCCCCTAGTGAGTGAAAAAGACGGCGAAGTTGCCCAGCAACATTGCTCAGAAAGTTGCCCCGTGTATCATCAGCTTTACTTTTTCTATTGATTAATTAATCAACTAAATGTTTCAGCTTTATAAGGGATCCGCTGAAACTGAACAGCTCTACAATACATCCATAAATATCAATCAATAAAGTAATGCTATAACAAACTATTATAAATTTGAGAGGGTAAAAGCATGGAGAAGCCCTTTAAATCGACTGACAATAAAAGATGAAGGTTCACAAACTTTAACATTACATTTAATAAAGCAAAATACATTTGTAAGTATGTTCAACATGGCTACACTTTAGATTACAGTAGAGCATAACTCTTCCCAATTTACTGTCATGTTTTGTACTAATGGTGTGCCAGTACAGTAGCTTACATACATGTAGGTACAAAGATCTGTTATGGCGGGGTACAGTAATGAGCAACAATCTGGTGTTTGGGAGGAATTTGAAGAGAATTATTACTGCAAGTATTTTGGGATATTAAAGAGGTGGTATTATGCTTTTTGGCTTTTCCCCTCTCCTTTATTGAGTTATCTCTCTTTTTTGTGCATGTAACAGGTTTGCAAAGTGAAAAAGCCCAAAGTCCAGCACAAAGGGAGTTCCCATCTCCCACAGAAAGCTCTGCTCTGAACTGCTTGAAAACAGCTCGTTTGTAGTCCAGCCTTTACTTGTGACGTCACAATGAAAACGCGTCATAAAGCTTGCCAAGCGGCTAGCGGGGTCAGGCACGCCCTCAAACCAAGCTAGTCTGAGCCGAGGCCCTTTGGCTCGACTCGCCTTTGTTTGGGTTTCCATTGTAGAAATGTTGTACCTGTACCTGCTTCCAGGTACATTTTTTCATATCACCTCACCTCCGTCGAGGTTCCAAGCGAGCTGAGGGATACTAAAATATAACATGAAAACATGACTGCTGCTGAAGTTTTATATTTTACAGTTTTCATATGGAATTTCATAACTAAATCCACTTCTGAGAAGTTTTGAGGTGAGAAATCAGCTGGGTAGATTTTGAATATTGACAGTTTTACGAGAAGTGATGGTGGAACAAAAATGCTTGAATATTTTGAGGAGCTCCGCAAGTGGCTGCGGGGGTAGCCTGCACCATCCTGCGGGAGGAGCGTGTGAGGCCGGCCAGCCGCTCGCTCACAGAGGCCTCTGCTCCCGCCGTCACACAGACCGCTGCAGAAACAACGGCAGAGGAAAACACAGCTGGAAGGTTTTCATACCGCTTATCTGTCTTTACATTCTGAGGAATGTTGAAACGTAAATAAAGAGAAAGCTGTGTGGATCGCTGGTGTGTGTGTCGCATTGAACATTACATCGTGGCAGTTACGTGTGGCGTCGCTATGACGACAAGCTATGTACTATCTCTGGGTAGAGTTGAGTCTATCGATTTGCGCTATGGTAGCATTTTTCGGCAAGGCAGCATAGATCCTCAGAACACCGGCAACAGTTCAACGTTTAGTCCTAAAAGACGATGCAACTCCAACTCTGTTTGGGCCTCTTTATTGATTGTGAATTATATTTAAAATAAACACGGCAATGTAACTTCACAGACTGTTCAAGTGCGGAGTTGTTGTAAACATTGGCTAACACAGCTATAACTATAATGCTAATGTTACACCCGATGTGAAAGCTACTGAGCAAACAGTCAAATTTTTACGTAAAATTGAGTTGAAATATGGTGATTTTTTGTAGTAGTTTATGGTAAGATGTGGAACAATGATGTTGTGTGGTTGTGGACTTGTGAGTAACTTCAGTTACGGTTGCAGTCTGAAGGGGCTTTGATTTGGATCACACTACCTTGTTTCTTACGACCCGCCCTTCTCTGCTTCTGATTGGCAGTATGAGAAAAATATGGTGTTTTTTGAAAATTAAACCATGTAAACCTGTTCTGGTACAACCCCTAATAAAGATTTTGAACCTGAAAATTAGCATAATACCACCTCTTTAATACTAATTTTACAGGGTACATGAGCAAGACCAATATAGGCTTTAAGGATACAGCATGCTCCTGATGATACCGTTTTCCCCTGGACCTTTTATTTGCCTAAGTAAACAGCACAAATGTATCCCATACTTATTTAGTAAGTACAGCAAACTGATAAAGGGAACTATGTTTGCCTATCTTCTTTTGTTAAGGTCTGTAACCTTCCAGCTTTGGTAAATACTATGGTAATCAGATTTATGAAATTCTAAAAAACTCACCCCATGAATCACCCTATCTTCCCCCAAAAGTCCACCTTTGTTGTTCAGTAATCGTCATATAGGCTAGCAACAACAGAATAGGTTCCTCGTTACACCTACAATTTAAATTCTATGAGTTCCCAGATTGTTACTCCTGTATTCCCCAACTTCATTTATCAGCATGTACTGTAATGGTACACAGAGTGATGCTGTGTGTTGCTGACTGTAATCTAAAACCTTTACCCAATAAACTGTTGGCTCTTCATGCTGGAAGCAAAGCATTTATACCCTTACTGGAATTGAAGAAAAATGGAGGAAATGAGGAAGCATATTACTGCCCTCGCGTCACATAAATGACATTTATTCATTTCATTTTTTACTACTACATTTGGCAGGCACAAAAAATAGGTTCAAGCCAAGCCAGAGTAGATCAAGAAGAGCTGGTTTGGCAGCCATCTTTCATTTGTGCCTTTTGGGGATTACCACGACAGTTCAGGGGAAGATGATGTCCAGAAGCAAACATTTTACGAGGGACAGAAACTACATCAGGCTTTAAAATGCTTAAGAAAGCTATTTGTGAAATGAAAGACAGTTCACCCATGCTTTTCTATGTTGGTATCCTTAAAGCTAGACCCGCATCTTTCCTGTAAAATTACCTCCCAGGAATTCATAAAAGGAGTCTTATCTTAGACTGAATAGCTTCATTGCTCAAGTTTTAGATGTACTTAGAGGGCTTAGGCTCACAGGAGGACAACATAACATAGACCAAACTCAGGGAAAGCGTAACATCACAAATGAGTCTCTCCATGAGGGATCCGTGTAAAAACCATCATAACCACCGAAACACTTTTCCAACAACAACAATATAAAAACACACATCTCTTCTTAACAAGGATCATTATCAAGTGGTCATTACTCTGCCTCTGTGATGCAGCAGTGAACCGTGCAACAGAAAACAGAAGAAACAAACTTTATAACAAAGTCTGCTGCCTTGCTGTTGCCTCACTACCGAGATCCACCCAATAACCACAAATGAACACGCTGGCACCAGCTCTGGGTACACCGCTTAAGATTAATGAATTGGATAGTCACCATGGCAATAAAAATCCCTTAAAAGAAACCATTACAACCTCAAGGGATGATCGGTTTGTGTAGGAAGGAGTGAAGTATTTTCTACCAATGTTTCACCAAAAAAATATAGATTCAAAAAAAGAAAATGACTGTATGCGCTTAGATGATGACCTATGGGGCCAAAATTAGTCAACATTTATGATGTTCAAAAATGTCTATCATGCAGGCTTGTGTTATTATCGAAGCATATTACCAAGCTTGAAGGGTCAGTCCACCCACACTATAAAATAAAATATTTCCGTACTTATCTACAGGGATCTAGCCAAGCAGATAGTTTTGGGTCTCTGTGCTGAGGTTTTCAGATTTCTGCTTCTAACCATATACAATGGAGGTCATTGGAATTTCAGTGCTCAAAACATTACAAAAAAATTATTTAATTGGCTCATTAGGATCAGTGCAAAACTGACAAATTATTACCGTATAAACTTAAAGTTGGTGATACACTCATGTATTTTCATCTGGTTTCTGGCCACTTGATAAATTTAAAGTCTGTTTACAGGTCTTGGGTCCTCTGCATATGTGAAAAAGTAACTAAGTGAAGCTTTTTCTACCAGTATTCCCACTCCTTTTAGCTTTGTTTTGGTCTCTCTCCTGAGCAAAATATCTGGCCCTTTAACTGCTGCTCCACTATGTTCGCCATCTACTTGCCAACTGTGTCTGTCTGCCGTTTGGTGCCAAGGCACTTGGCTTAAAGCAGGTTTATATGAAAACAGCTGCCTGCTGCAGCTGGTAATGAGATTGATAAAGGTGGTGAAAGTGAATTAAAACAATAAAGCTGCTGGCAGTTAAGAAACTGCAGGGTTGGGCAATAATTCTGTGAGTTTGTCACTACAAGAACACCTTTCACAACAAAGTTATTTTACCATTGTTTATTTAATTAAAAAGAAAAAGAGTTGCATGATATTTAGAAACAATGTCCAGGTTATGCTGCACAAGTCAAAGAACAAACTTAACAGTTTATATTTAATGACTTTCTGCAGAGAAAAACCTATGAAATCTATACAGTGTGTTCTGTGGGTTAGTCACAGATTATCCACAGTAACCAGGTTTCTGGAAAAATATTGTGCTTTTGGATTATGTAAATGTAATTAATGCACTGTAACTTTTACTCTCCTGTTTGGTCAGATATATTTTCTATCCCTCTATAACTCTTTTTAATTGTTTTACGTGTATTTTTATATTGCCTTGTGTTGCTCTTACATTTTGTTTTTTGTGTAAAGCACATTGAATCGCCTTTAAAATGACCCTTTAAAAACACAACGCTGTAAATATGTTTGACTCTGAACTGCAACTTTGGAAGTGCACCTACGTAAAAATGAATCACAGCTCGTCCAACACCCCATCTTCCTTTTTATTCAGAAAACCCCAAGGAGAAATAGAGCACATGCTACACTTTGATTTGAGCCTCAGGCATGCATGAAATCAGACCTGGTATTTGCTCACTGGAATAATTCATATGGCAGCATGATTCCAAATTCTAGGAATACCACATGTTGATCACTCCCAGATAGGCCTGGTTTCAGATTGCGCCTCTGCAGGCCAGAGCGGCTTAAGGAGAGCAGCTCTGGTCATTACAGCGGCACAGGGGTGCTTGTCTGATCTCAGCTCTTCACTCCACACTCTGTTTACATTCTGATCAGCAACACCAAGCCCCATCATCCCCATACAAATGGATGTTTATTTAGACAGGGGACCTGAACAGGATTTTATTGTCATCTCTGTAGAGGGTGACAGTGAAAACATGACTCTAGGGTTTAACCCAGCAGGGAAAGTGCTGTTCAGCAGTCTAAATAGAGAAATTACATCCCATAAGCACAGTGGAGGAAAGAAAGGGTTCTTTCTTGACATGATGAAATCAGTATGTACATAGTTTATGGTTTCTACCAGTGCAAATGTTAAGTGTATAAGGGCAAGATTGCTGACATACACACCGATCCATAATCAGATTTGGATTAAACAGTATTTGAGTAAGTATCAGATGGTTTGTTGCCACAGACAGGTGGCGTTAACTGCCTCAGAACAATTCAGATTGTATCACAAGTAGGGATGAAGCAATTACCGGTTTAACCATAAACCATGATAAAATTCCTGACCGTTATTATTACCGGGTGCGAACTGGGGGAGCCAGTAATAAGACATCAGCTCCCCTAAAGGCATGCTTTGAGATATTTTGGGGGGTCTCTAAAATATTGATAGCATGCTTTATTGCCATTAATCTCTATATTTCTCTATCATCATGGATCATGCGGAGTGTCAGACTTCATCCAGCCAGAGGGAACGTACGATACCGGGTGAAGTTAGTTTAATATTCAACATTCATTGGTTTTCGCGCCTGTTATCTTCAATAGCTCCGTGAATATTAAACTAACTTCACCACAGAGGGCTAGTCGCTCCGCGATCTCCAGTCCATGGTCCGCCCTACCCCCTCTCCTGTCTGGGTTGTGTCGCTAGTACGACCGACACACTGAATGGTTCGTGATCATTCCGTCTGGCTGGATGAATATTAGGCCTGATCCATGCACTACTGCAGCTGGGGGCTCCCTGCAGCGCCACGCAACTTTCTCAATTCTTCCCTCTCACGGAGAAAAGAAGGTCAGTTCGCAAACACAGAGGCAGCTGTTGTGTGAAATGTAATTGTAGCAAAATGGCTACTGATGATAATAATAATACTTTTTATTATTATATTAAGACAAACATGCCTGATACTTTCACAGTCAGTCCCAGGCCTACATGCTTACAGCTATTAATGATTCAGCAGTATCAGTATTCAGTAAGTATCACAGTCTGCACAAGACAGCGCTGCAGAGATTTCTCAGTCACTCTGAAGTCTGGTTGTATTTTAGTTTTTGTGAGAGCGCTGAGGGAAACTTGACTGAAGACAATAACCTTATAGTGAACGCAGGGTGAGTTAACTATCACTGTCTTCTAAAGACTTATTTGACGACAACATGACATTCCAGCATTCTACACTTGTTCTGCATTCAATGTCTTATTTCTAATAAACATAATGTAAAGACTTACTATCAAATACAGTTTAACCCAGGTCTCCGCACAGGCTCCCGTAGTCTACGCTTCATATAAACTCTCACACAAGAACACTGTTCTTAAGGTCAGTTCACGCCATTTCTGGTGTGTGTGGTTTTTGTGGTGTGGAGGGTTGACACAGTGGGAGTTGAGTTCAGCAGAGGTTCTGCACCGCGCTGTGTGAAAAGAAAACTCTACCTCCAACTTAGTCGTGCATTCCAACAAACACAAAACACAGTATTAGCGTAGGCTATTGGAAAAGTTCTCATCCTGGCTAAAGGACTAGCGGTTGGTAAGTCTTTCTGCAGTGCTTCCAAGGTTAACAATGACGAGAGCTGCAGCAACCAGGGACATGGCTTTTAATTTGGAATACTAGAAAACAAACTCTACTAAGGCCTCTACAGATAAAATATAAATTAATATGTTCTCATTGATTAAAAGTTGCAAAGAAACATTCATCAGCACACTCCTGAGTAGTAAGCCAAATTTCCCCCTCATCCCTCTTGACTCTAACTGAGAGACGGTCATTAGGGACTTACCTTGGCATTCTGCAGGGCGCTCTGGTAGCTGGATGGCTTGTAGTACAGCCTCTGGGACGGCTCAGTGTGGATGTCTCCCAGAAACAGCTCCTCCACCAGGTGATCCAGGTTGTGATGCAGGTATTGCTTCTCCACCCTCAGCAGCTGCAGCTCATGCATGGCAAAATTAAGCTCCCTGGAGCAGTCATAGCCGCCCTCCTCGCTCCAGAGCTCGTAGATCACACTGGGTTCCCAGGGGCCCTTCACGGCCCCTCTGCAGCTGCAGTTGAGCCTCTGGCTGAGCTCTTTGGCCACGGTGGCTGTGTGACAAACCATCTGGACGCGGTGGAGGTGGTACTCCGCCTCTGTGCCGCCGCGGATGATCCAGGAAGCCTGGCGTAAGCGCAGACGACCCCGGATCACCAGAGTGTAGGTGGGTTTGGTGCAGTGGTTGTCCTCGTAGTAGAACTGGTGAGCCTGGAAGGTATTGTTGGGGTAGAAACTGTAGGAGCGCGTCAGGAACTCCGGGCCTGGTCTCACCTCACAGCTACAACAGAAAATAGGAGGTTTCAGGGGAACACAGAGCGAAGTTAGTCTGCAGCAAGTAGTGATGTGCGATACCACTTAATTCCTATCCTATCCAATACCAAGTAATACCCAGGCTGGTATTTCCGATACCAATACTTTTTACATATTTTATTTCTATTTTATGTGACCTCCCCCCTCCCGTTTCTGTATTTATGAGAGAAATAAGGAGTAGGCTGTAGCCTCACCAATTCCAAATAATAACTGCATAATGACAAGACATCAAACTACTGTCACATTCTTTAATTATAATAAAAATATCCTGCTCAGATTTGCCGCTTCATAACATCATCATGTTATTGTGACAGACTTAATCTCAGATGTTTAGCGAAGTTTGCAGTGTTGCCAAAGTATTTCACTGTCTTTGCACACACATCACACACAACATCATTATTACCTTCACAGCTAAAATACAGCCAGACGTGACTGTTTTTACAGTCAGCCAGAGTCAGTATTCAATCGCGGGAAATGTTAAGGGCTGCAGCGGTTCATTTCAAAGAAGCTCCGTCACAGAGCCGTAGCGCAAGCATGACTTTGACAGGCAGAAGGAAAAGTAGTTCCTACTGAGTATAATTAGACCATCCTGGTGACAGTAAGATACTTGTGATAAAACACACACTTGCTCCAGATGACTGAGTTTAGATATCGATCCTTTTATATGAGTATCGATCCTAGAGCAGGAAACGTTGGTATCAGAAATATCGATACTTTAGGATCGATCCGCACATCACTAGCAGCAAGCCCTTCCATTTGAGCCTTCTGACTTTCTTATCACAAGTGCAGGTTCTTAATCTTGCAAGTACTAATCTTTTTGTTTGTAACTTCTAGGCAGCCACTGATTTTTAGTTAATACCAATATGGTAGGAACATCAATTTGTAGAGACTTGAAAATGTGCTTGAGATCACTGTAATCCATTACAGGAAACCTTTAGTGTACTTTTTGGGGCCCAAGTTAAGTTATATTTGTGTGGTAATGATAAAGATAGAGGTAAAGATAATGATGCCAGCAAACTCAAATTCAAGATTTGGCTGATGCAAAGCATTGCTCTTACACGCCAAGGAAGAGGAAGAAGAAGAAAGTAGAGATGGAAGATGAAGATGAATATTTTGAAAAGGATAATGTGATTTTGGTCATCATTAGCAAATGCACCAACAAAGGATTTCAAAGAACTTTCAGAACAGTCCCTGCTCACAAAAAGGCAGTAACCTTGATAAAACTAACTGGACAGAAAGCTCTGCAAGTTTATTTTCTTACTGTACAGACATCAAGTAACAGTAATCACTACTTGAAAAGTAAGAAATCACTCTACAAACTCTTGCATGTATGTATGTTTTAAGAAACGTCAGTAGTTTTGTTATGAATGGTACACTTTATGAAGCTTTATGTAGCTGATCTATTTATCTATGATAGATTGTGTCCCAACAAGAGATCATCAATCACCTAAACCATTTTAGGATACATGTCATGTTTTCATACCCAAACTGTATTTTGTATGTCAAAGTAGTTGTTTACCTGGTGGACACCCAGTGACCGTCTACGTTGGGAGGCATCTGCACTGTGATTCGGGCTCCATTGTGAAGGTGCTTCAACATGTGTTGGCACTGGGAGTCTTTGACCAACCGACCGAAGGTTTTCTCCAGGGAGAGACGGCTGGACCGGCCGTCTGAGTAGTAAAGAGAGGAACATTCAGTCCAGCCTGTGGGAACAATAAGGACAGGAAGGGTTTCGCTATTATTCATTGTTGTTGATCATGATTGTTTGGGGAAAAAATATATTTTTTATAAACATCAAAGAAAGAAGTTTCATCCATGAGATTTTTGTGTTATATATTTGAACTAAATTAGGACGATATTAGTTTCTTCATATTTAGATAGATGACATTTGCCTCATTGAGGTTGAAATGTTTTCCCCTTTTAGATCTTTATATAATAAATGACAGACAACTGCTTTTAAAAGGTAACTTCTACAAGGGTTAATTACACTTCGATCAAACAGAAAAAGACGTTATCTTGTTAGTTTGAAGTTTCGCTCTCATGATTTCTCTCTGCTTATTTAACCAGTCGGGCCTCTTACGTCTTTAGAGGGGTTTATTTATCATTATTTGTCATTTTAACTCATGTCATCACCCAGGAATCACAGGGCTTTATCAGTGACCTGCAACACCTGGTCTGAGTGGAGTCTTTATGGGTTAATATTAGCTGAGCAAGTGATGGCAAAGCTTAGATGTCCAAGTAAAGGAACTGATAGGTGGCTTCCTGCTAGCAGAGCAGACACAAAACAAACTCTGAAACCAAGCTACAAAGTTTAAAAAACTCTCAGTTCCCACTCCACACACCCTTGATGCACCACATGAAATAACAATACCTTCAACAATGGGCTGAGCTTAAAGGGATAGAATATCGGAAATGAACACATTTTCAAAGCCTGCAGCCAATGAAATGCCTTGAAGCTTACATTCCAGTGAGGATTTATTCCATATAATACTCTAATATCATGAAAATCTACCTTGAAATGTGACGACTTTGCCTTAAATTCTTTCTATTTGGACCCAACTTGCATGGCAATATCATTTAACACTTTAGAATGCTGCCGTGGTCGCCTCTGCTTTTAATTTGAAACTAATAACACAGAGAGGGAGGAACAAAAACATCTGATTAAAGCAGCCAAAAGCTCCATGAAGAACAAAGTACCATCCAGCGAGGCAGCCCCTATGTGTGTTAGCTGAGGCTTGTGTGTAAATCACCACATCACAGCACAGCTCATTGGAAACACTGGACAGTGGGGAGACTTGATCCCCGACTCAGCTGGTGGCATTAGTAACGCTGCTCTGCTGGCTGGAGTTGTGTTAAATATCAAAGAAAAGGCTCCACAGTTTGTTGCATTTTCTGTGTGGCTTTTTTTTTGCACCCACAGTCAGGCCTGGACCCAGGGAAAGATCCTGGTCAGCTTGTTTTGACAACTTTTAACCTCACTGGAGGATTCCGCTGGTCAAATACCGCCTCAGGTTTATTAGCAGGTGAATTTCAGGGTAGGACACACACAGCAAAGCATTAAAAAGTACACACACGCTGAACAATATTCATTCACAAAACCGACATTATGAATCTCTTACTGACAGATTTGTTCATGTAGCAGTTTTCTAGAGCGAAACTGTCGAATCAATTAATGACTTAGTTCATCAATAGAAAATTAATAATTTGCTTTACCTTTAGAGTCATGGTCAGACAAAACAATTAAATCAAGAAAATAAAAGCTGATTTGTCATGAAAATTGTATTTACAACCCTACAATTTTCAATAAATGTATGTAAACTGACAGCTACAACAACCAATGAGAGCTAAGCAGAAGTTCAACCAACCTAACAGCCCAGCATCTTCCAAAGTGGTCATATTGTAATGAAAAGGAAACATATCAGAATTGAGCAAGATAATGTATTCTTGACTTTGGAAACCCCTTACTGTACTAGCTTTTTCAACAGCTTTCAACCATAACGCACAGTCTTCTTCAGCGGAGTTTGCTTATTTGCAGGTGGTTGCTAATAGATGGCCTCAACCACATCTGTTTTATGATGAGACACTTGACTGAAACACTAGCTCTAGTAGAGATGATAAAATCCACTCACATACACATCAAGTATATCCAATAAGTGCAGAATGATTTCGGAGATTTTGGTGTGGATTTACACGATAATTGGATGACAATAGGTGCTGAGACAAAGGTAAAGGTGAGATAGGTTACTCCACGCTACAGCCAAAACTCCTCAAGCTCCCAAGAATCAGCCATGTTTGATTAAAATTCCACTTGACACCAGAGCTACAACAGATATTATGCAAATGTGACACAGGAAGAAGCTGATGATAGTATGGGGAATTATCTTCTGCTGCAGCTTTCTAGGGATTCTGGGTAATGAATGCCCTCACCAACAGAGATACTGAATGAATATCTTGAGGAATAGAATAAGATTTTTAATTTGTCTGCAAACACACATGCTTCTCAGCTTCAAAACAAATCGGGCACTTACCACTTTCCATCACTTTAAAAAGACATGTAAAAAAAGAAAGCTGATTTATACTGTAATCTGTGAAAATCTTGCATCAAATTTAAAACAAACATACATCTAGCATGCATCTTTTTAGCTGTTAATGTGGGTTAATGAAGTGTTTCTGTAGCTGATGTTAAGCTGCTTGTTTTGATATTTGCAGCAGAAACACACCTGATCCAGAGTCAGCTGCATCAGACCAAGACATGCTTAAGATTCATTTGCGGCTTTGTGAAAATGTCATAATTATAATAAAACACAAGCTTTATTTAGAGTAATTTTGAAAACACAGTTGCAATTCTTTTTTTTACAAAAGAGGTTTACATCATCAAAGCGAGAACTCAAAATGGAAAACAGGCTTACGGGGAAATAAATGAGGAAATGATTAAAAAGAGGTTGTGTGTAGCCTGTTTGTAAAATTACTTTTTAAGAGGGATGCATCATACGACTCTGTCTCTACACATTCACTGAGTGTTAAATATGTGAGTGGTGGGAGTTTCCTCCATTAGCTTTCTTTAAAAAACATTTTTTAAAAACCTCTCCCCTCATTAAGGCAATAATCAGAACGGCTGGACTAAAACCCTCTCCGGTCCCTCGCTGCTGCTTTCCCAAACTGCTGCTCTCTATCTAAATCAAAGCGCCCACAAAACTCCCAGAGCCCCAAACCATAGAGAACATTTCCAGTTGGCCTGATCCCACTGGTGAGGTAACAGCACTGGGACCCCTGACAAGCAGAGAGACTCCACATCGTTTATGGGAAGAGAAAAATCCAGAGGTGCCAGAGCAGAGACCAGACAAGGACTGTTCTTTGTGTTATCTTAGAATTTGGCAGTGAGCATGTAGGACTTGAAGGGGGTAGAGAAAATACACTTCAGGACTTTAACTTTAAAGTGTACAATTCCAGAGGTGGAAAGTATCTAAGTACAGTTGTACAACTTTAAAGAAGATACTGGTGCTTTAAGTATTTTTTTTTTTTAGACTTTCTACTTCAGTGGATTTTAGAGGGAAATGTTGTTCTTTTTGTAATCCAATACACATTTATCTGACAGCTAAGTCTACAGCCATGCTAGAGGCTCAGTTAGACTGTAGCCTACTTATGGGCACGATGATGCTTTGATCTAAATGCTTACATTAGCATGCTAACATGCAGCAGTCAAAGAAAAGAGTAGAAATAAGCCTGACTGCTCTACAATTAGAGCAGTCATTACGACTTATCTTCTGGCCACCATGGATATCCGTACTAAATGTCGTTGAAATCAAGTAGTTGAGATAGGCTATTTCAGTCCAAAGTGGGGGGACCAATCTGAAATCCATCACTACAGCCTCACTGCTAGCATGGCTAACCATCTAAAACCTTTAATTTGTTAAAGGTTTTCAGAAACCCTGAAAATAATTCTTGTTTTCATGAATTTATTTGACATTAAATGCATTGTGTACGCATGTAACTACCACACACTTAAGTCTCACCTTAAATCCACTTAATAGCTTTTCTGGAGCTGCGAAGATAAGGCTCTCTGTTTCCATGGTCTTTTAAGCCAAGTGGTCAGACAAAAAGGAAATGTGAACAATTCAATGAAAACTCCATCTGTTGATGAAGATCATATCATATAACTGAAAGCTGATGCTTAAGTCGACCTTGATGAAGGGTTTTGCTAATGAAGAATAGTCTCCTTCTCTTGTGGTGTTGCTATTTTTCAAAGAGAACGTGACGTTGTCCTCCACCACTGAATGAATCATCTCTGTAGCTGCAATACAGGAGGTAGGACTGGGCTGCATGGCAATTAGCATCATTTGTATCTCCTACATCTGTCTTTCCTCTGTCTTTCCCCTGTTGGTTTATTCGAACTTGTGACCGCCCTTCCTTTCTTTCTGTTGCTGCAGTTCATCTCACTTATCTCACATCAAACTTATGCTGACATGATTTTTGTAAGAATGTTTCCCTTGATATGTACTAATTTTTCTGACTGATGCCTCTGCAGTCACAGCACTCATTATTTGGCGTCTTTAGATTTTTGTTAGTTGCCAAGTCTTGCTTTGCTCACACATCAAACTGTTCATCTCTAGACAACTGAAACATGCTAGTAATTGGGATTCAGCCTAACAAAACCCAAAATGATGGCAGTGATGTAACAGACTCTGATTTAGCACGTTGATATCAAATTTCACATGTTATTATTATGGAATATACATATAGCTGCATGTGTATACAGTATGCAAATAAACAGGCAAAAAATGTTTCATAGGCCGTAGTTTTGACACGTATTTCTCTCACAAGATTAATTAATCCAATTTCCATAACCACATTAGTGTGCGCATTGCTAAAAATGTGATTCTAATGTTCAAACTTTTTCCTTTTTTAAACTCGCTAAATATCGGTATGAGCCAAATGCAATATCAGCAGAGTTCTAGATTGTAATTGTGAATAGTTAAATGGCTTTTAATGAAGTGTTTTTTGTATTATTATGGTTATAGTTTGCCATTGTGCCTGATTGCTGTGCTGACAATGACCAAACTTAATAGAGACTCACACATATATTCACGTCTTCACAATCCAACTCTTCCACCAAAGGAAAAAGAAAACAAATCCGGCATCATGTTGAACATGAAAAGATGTAGGACAAGCTATTACTTGAGAAAACACTTAAATCAATTACTGAATATTTACAGATGTGATAAAACTTCAAGACGTTATTGAGCACCAGCAAAAGTCTCATTAGATTCAGTAAAAGATGAAGTACAAGCAGCTGCTCCTCCACGTTTCTGTGTCTTTTTTAAACTTTGCTGTTTAACTCTCCGAAGCCTCGCTGAGGTTTTCTCCCCCAGTAAATTTACAGCACACACTAATCTAGGCTGACAGTGCATTTTCATTGCTACTACGAAAGGTTGCAATAACACACCACTTAATTGAACGTTAGATTCACTTAAACACACTTAAGGATAAGTGGACTCCAAAATATCGTTTTATCTCAACCCGGTCATTTGAAGTTACAGCCAAATATCTTCCACTGTCACTGGCAGCAGATGGATTGGGTCAACTGCAGTCCCATAATCCTCTGCTGCTCAGACAGGGTTTTCATCAGGAATGGATGTTTTAAGTGGCTCTTAACTCTTCCAGGGCTTTCATCTGCTGGCAGCCCCCGGAGGAAGCTTTTTATTGCCTTTTAGCCTTCAAAACATGTTCATCACCTTGGCATAAGGGATAACTTATGCCAGAAAATAGTATAATTATTACTCCTGTTGGACACACAGACACAAACACACAGCCATGATGGTAAAACAGGTGTGCTGAGGTGAATAGAGGCATGTCAGGTTCCTATCTGACATATATGCTTCACTGAAGAAGTAGAAAACATTTACAAATCCTCTGGATAATTTGGATGATCTTATCCTTTTTTATTTTTTGTACAACAAAGGTTTTTAATAGGCTGTCAAAGATCTATATTTTCCATGCACAGGTGGAGTAAAACATGTTTTTCACCTATATTTGAAAGTCCATCAAACCTCCACACTTGCTGCAGTTATAACTACAAACAAAGTCAATTCATGTCAAAGTTTCTTACCCAAAAAAGCAACGAGAAGCAGTGCAAATGATGGAGCCATTTCGCACTATGAGGAATGAGATTTTTCTTGTCACACTGGGATGTTCGGGTTTTACGCAGCGTCCTTGTTAATTACGACACAAATCCTCACATTATCCATCCAAAGCGTGGAGCAAACACTCCTGTGATATCCGAGCATCATAGGAAACCCACTCTGCTTCGCTTGAGAGTGTAAAACACCGCCGTACATGCGGATCAAAACAAAGACAACGCATAGAAAACGAACGAAAGTCCAGACTTTGCTAGGGACAACCTCAGTGTTGAAGTGAAGCAGCTCGGTTGCTTTTACGCGCGTCCTCCGTGCGTCCTGCGTCCTGTCCGTGTGTTCAGACTGGACTCCCCCCCCCCCCAGCCCCGCCGCCTCTGCTGAGATTTTATGGGCGTGGAGTGTGCGTTGAAGTTTTCCTCTTAAATCGACTATGTGTAGAAGGTGTGTTAGTTAAAGCTAGAGTTGTTTTCAATCTTAATAATATCTATATACTACCTAACTCTACCTAACTAAATACTACCTAATGCAAACATGCAAAGCAGCATCCACTTTATGACACCACAAAATATACATATTTTTTTATCATTATTTTTCAATAAACCCACTTAAAATGAGACTTTACAAGCTAAATATCCAATTTAAGAACTAAATGTTTCAACTTGGTTTGAAGAAAACCAGATTTAAACTCTGTCAATTAAGTTTTTAGCTTGCAAATCATAATCCCATTCCAAAAGAGTTATCAGGGTGTTCTAGTTATCTCAGCAAGATTACTATAAAAGTAGGACTATAACTTAACCTTAAAATGTGACACAGTCACTAAAAACTCAGTTAGTACCAGAGTTATGTTCTAATAGAACCAGAATATCTGCGGTACATACTGTATGTTTGGGTTGTTTACAACAACACATCCTTTTGTGCACAAGCCCCAAAAATGACAAACCCAAAATAAGATGGACACTATTCTTAGACTCTTTTGGTTACAGTCTAGATCCTGGCAGGAACTGAATGTGCATGGTAGAATGTGAGAGTTGTGGCAGTGATGTTGGGATATCACAATGGTTTACATGGATATAGAATAAAAGAGTAACCAAATTAGAATTTCAGAAATCTTGTGTTAGGGATTAATTAGGGTTAAAGTTGTCCTAGAACCACACTCCTTACTTTACTTTGTGTCGGACATCCTGCTTGTTATCGTTCATGATGAATGCTGTACAATTTTCTTGACCGTGGCTCTCAAATTATACACCTTCTCATCACAGCCTGCCTGCCTGAAGGGAGGAACTACAACAAAGGTTCACAGAGGCTTTTCCCCCTAAACACCTGTTGTGTACGTGTGTGTGTGTGTGTGTGTGTGTGTGTGTGTGTGTGTATGGGCATGTGAGAGAGAGAGAGAGACACCTTGGCTTGAAGTTTCTAACTCTCTGTCTCTTTTCAACTTGCTGTCGTCTCTCTGATCTTTTGACCCTGAGGCGAGAATCTCTATCTCCTTTTCATTCATCTGCTCAGCCACTCTTGACACTGAGCCAACTGTGGGATACCTGCCTTCAAACACTGATCATATCTGCACAAAAGTACCAAACCTATTTTTTCTTTTATGATATTTTTTCGTAATTTACAACTTACAGTTAATGATTATGGGCTTCACAACATAATACTTTTATTATTTAATCAGTTTTAACTTAAAATTGTGAATTAAAAGAACACCTTGAAACACAATATAACATGCATTGCTTGTTGGGGGCGAAGCTAGATTCTCAGCACAGTGGGGGCAAAGCTTCATCTTTTGCCCACCTGCTACCAAGTCATTTATACCAAATTTACGTGACCCCGGACTCACTCTGAAAGTCCACTGAATCCTTCTGTGGCCATTCTTGTCAACGCTTGTGCTCACACCAGTAGCTCTGCAGCACGTCCTGGATGCAGTTCCCTGCTCAGCTACCACGGAGAATAGGCAGCCAGTCTATTTTTGATGGAAGCCGCGTCAAGCAGCACAGACCAGATGAACAGGAAGGAAATCAAGAAGCCAGACACAGAAATGGCACAGAGAATCCAGTCAATTTTTTAAATAAAACACCCTGTGCAGACTCCCAGTCGTATATATACAATAAACACATTTAAAAAGGACAAAAAAGAAATAATTTAACTACGTAGCCCACTTAATCATTGTAGAAGCCCAAAAATTAAGGACAACTGAACAAATCAAATAAATCTGAACTAATCTCCATTTCACGCGGCTTGATTACATACAAAATCTATGCAAAGACGCAAATTCTTGCGAATTCGCTGCGGGCAGTGCGGAAGATGCGTTTGATGTGACATTCGCTGGTTCGCTCGATTTAAAAATTAGCATGACGCTATGTAGCGAAAGCCTATCAGTGGTGAGATTGTCTGAACATCACTGACAGTTTCCGAGCATTGTTTAGAGAGGACCGGGCAGTGCGGGGGAGTGAAACGCTGCTGGCCGACAGAGAGCTGCTAAACTACGGGGGAAGTGTAGAAGAAAGAGCCGGGAACACCCACAAGTCGATCTGGATTATGCTCTGACAACTAGTTTAGTTAACTAACTGCTTTTATGAAATTAGCTCTTTACCGTAGTTTTTTGGTTTACAGCGTTGATCTATCTTCACTAACTAACTTTATTCCAGCTATTGTTGTACTTTACTGTGAACAAGCTAGCAATAGCATAGCCCCGATCAATCCAAACTCCTTTCAGAAAACAAACATTTAAAAGTTGCAAAAACACAGCGCACACGCTGCCTGTGTGAGTTTGGGGTGATACATAGTTGCCTACGTCCAACCCTCAGAATTCCCATGATGCATGATGGTAAAGGGAGTTTTGTTAAAATTTGCTAATAAGTTTGCCATTTGTTTGAAATACAAATGTTACTTTATGGTTAATGTTTTTTAAATGTGTCTGCTTAGAATATAGTCTTTTTTGTTGGTAATTGTCATTCTTGTGGTGGTTTACCATTGAAACCAGGAATGAAGTGACTTGCATTTGATAAGAACAGCTGATTTTTCTTTTTAGTATAAGAAGCTCAGCCACATTTTTTATCAACTGACATAAGCTTCACAGCCCATGTGGGGGTCCACCCACCCAGCCGCCCCCATGAATCCACCCTACCTCTGCTTATGCCTAAACGTTAAAATCAGCATACTCAAATTAACAATGTCAGAGTTGATTTTAAGTGAAATCACCTAAGGTAATTTTACATAGATTTTACACAGCTCCCGCTGAAGCCTCAGATGCTTTATAGAACTTTGTTCACCTGTGCAGTAGTTCTCTCCAAGACCTGTAAACAGAATTCAATGTGTAAATTCAGTGGCGTCCTGCTTTAAAACTCACTGATCCACTGGTAGGTCATTTTGCCCAAGTTCATGGAAAATATTGTTCAAATATTGTAAACATCATACAGCTTGAATGAAGACTTATTTTCATGATCAATTAATCTGTCTTAATTTAAGAAAAATATGCTAATCATTTAGTCTAAAATGTCATTAAAAAGCGTGATGCCAATCACAAGCTCTACGGTGACACCTCTAAATTGCTTGTTTGCTGCAATTTACAGTTATATAAAACAGATGCATGCACCAAATCCTCACATTTGAGAAGCTTGAATTTGTGAATATTTTTGCTCAATAATTAAGTTTATCAATTAAAATGGATTAATCATTCCAGTGCGGAATACAATTATTTTTCCAACTGTAAAGGTACTTAACGGGGAAAAAAATGAGGAAAATGAGTTAAAAGGGGTTAATAAACTAAAACTAAAAATTTTAAAGGCACCAAGCAAGCTTTGTGTCTCAAAGAGCCAATATATTTTTTGCAGTGTAAAGATTACATCCATGCTTTCACACAGATAGTGAAGGAGGCCCTGCCGTACACAAAAACAGTATTTCACATGCTTATCCAATAATCCTCCAAACCTTAATCAGTAGAGCAATGCTCCACTGACGGAGTTCTAATTAATTTCTATTGTCTGGAGTCTTAACCCTCATGGCTGCCTCCCTCAATGCTCTCCATGGTATTTGCGCCTTTTCCTCTAATCCTGGATCCACGCTCTGGGAGAGTGACTCCAACCCTCCTCTCTCTCTCAATTCCTTCTTTTCTCAGGATCCGGAAAAGCCGCAAAGCGAGATCTGGACAAACAGACTGATGGGATTTGCAAGAAGCCCGGAAGGGGTATTAATAAGAAGGCTGCATAGACGAGAGGCTGGAGGCAGGGAGGTGAAACTGGGAGGCTTGTTCTGGTGTGTTGACCCCTGCGTTGTCCTGTGTGGCTAATCAAAGCATCATTGCACCCTCTTTGTGTTGGTGCAGGAATGTGATCTATGAGAGGTGGAAATAAGACGGCTTTGATTGTCAAAAGGCTCAATGGGACAGTAAAACCCACTATTTTGCCATCACATTTCCTACAGGGAGTGTTGATATTATGTCATAAAAAAACTCATGATTTTGCCTGTAAATGCTGAAACTTGTTATTCCCTTTTTAAACCATCGGGGATATTTCTAACATGTTTTTTGTGTTAGGCCTTTATCACCAGTGTCCCCTAAACATGTCAGAGCAGATGAATGTGAGCAGGGACATTTCAAAGTTGCTGTCTCTCTGTTTCTGATTAAAGCCGTGTTCTGAAGAACTGGATGACTGCGCTGTTTTCTGTTTGTCTCTTTCTCTTCATGTCTCCCTGTAGACTATGTCATTTCTGGAGGGTGTTGTAAAAACTTAGAATGAGAAGGGAGTGGCACACAATGAACATAAAACTCACACTGAGTTATGGGATGTTTATTTGTTAACTGTTGATTGTTTGTAACTGTATGTGAGGCCTGAGGAGTTACTGACTTAGATTACTGAAATTGCAATATGTTTTCAGGGCCTTTTCAACCCTGTTCATTGTCAACCTTTGCTCAAACTAAATACTAGCAGAGGTTTCAGAGTGTATAAATATTACAGATATGTAAGGCTGAATATCAGGGAAATGTGTAGAAACTGATGCACAAGACATCTAGAGTATTTCCATTTAGTGTGCAGGTGTGAATATTTATTTCAGTAACATCTAGGTTCCATGAAGGAACAGGCTGATCCAGAATATGTTTAACAATGTGGGATAGTGTGGAGATTATTTTAACATCCTTAAATGTGCAACATGTTAGAATTTTAATCAACTAAAATGATTAACAGAATGTGAAGAAATAACAGTTCTGACATTATGTCAAAGACGTCTATGTACAGTATTGTGTTGCGGAGATTTCTACTGAAGTTAGCATGCTAACGAGTTAGCCCCAGTGTTAGCTCCTGTGTTGTAATACCACTTTGTTGCATTTTACCTCAAGAGGCGATAGTCCCATTGTTTCAGTTTGTCTGGAGATATGTGCAAGCTGCAAGTTTTAGTCTAATAAATAAACAAAATTAACTCTCCAAATGAGGAAATATTCTTACTCCTATTTTCCTTATTAAACAGATAAAGTCAACCATACACCTTCTGTATTCAAGTTTCTCACTTTTAGCGAACTAATTGCCTTGTTAACTAATCGTAAAACACTCGACCTTTCTCTCACTCCTCTCCTGCTTGACGCCTCTACTGTCAACGCCTGAATCCACTGTGTCTTCGTCGTCCCCAGAGTCTGAGTCCTGGCCGGAGCTGCTGTTAATCACCTCGGTATGGTGATGGGGGAAAAAAAGAAACTGAATCTTCATATTTAACAGCCAAATCCAATATATGTATACACAGTATGTATAGTGGCTAGTAACTTTGGTGAGTGGCAAGCCACAGTAGCTGGTGAGAAAAAGACATCGAGCCCTGCCTATACTGTAACTCCATAGTCTATTTCATTGGACCTTCCCAGCCCAATGCACACATATTTCATATTTTAAGTCAAAAACCCCAGAGCACACAGGAGCGTCACAGTGATGCAATCTTTATGTGAAAAGTCTGACATTTACACTGAGATAACCCTGGTGACATCACAATGAGTTATTTTGATGTCATAGAGTTATAGACATTGAAAAACTCCTCCAGAGTCACAGAAGACATTATAACAACTGTTTTTCACATATGGAGTAAATAAATAATCTTCAAACACTATTGTACTTGACCAATGCTCTAACTGCAGAAGCCCTGAGCCCAGTAGAGAAGGCCTGGCTCCAAGTTCAGTTTCAATATGGCCGACATCTGCTGCTGCAGAGACAATTGAAACAGTACAGTTAAATCAATCCAGACTGGGAGCGGGAAACAGAGAGATGGGTGGGGGGGGGCTTTCATCTGTGTTGCGTTGGTAAATACTCCCATGTGCAATGACAGATCCCATTGTGTAGAACTTCTTTGAATTAAAGCATTCTGCGGGGTCAAGGAGAAACTGTCCCTGAAAAAAAGAGAAACAAGGGAGAAAATAAAAAGGGAGAATATTCAAGAGAGAACATGGAGAGGCTGAAAAAACACAGTTCCTGCTGTCTTCATGTTGTTTTCTTTTCCCTCGATCAGTTAGCAAATGTTTTATATTGTTTACAAACTCAGGCTTCCAACTGCCAGTGGCTTGAAAAAAACTGCCGTCCCATAGGAAGACCCAGATGTTACAGTAACGTCTGCAAGGCAACGAGCCTTTGACTGATTACTTCCTCCAGGCGACCTCCAGGTCATCCTGTGGGTGTGATGTGATTGACAGTAAGCAGAGCGGAACGTTTTGCAGCGCTGATATAAAAATACTCTGCTGGCACAGAGGAACAATGATAAAACTGAAACACTCACAGAACCCATAAGCTGTCATGTTTTCTGTGATGGACTGTTTACCTTAGGTAATTTTCAGGACTGCTGAGGTTGTTTTTCATAGTGTTTTTCAGAATGAGCTACACCAAATGGCTTCTTCTGAAGGAAGAAAAACAAAATGATAAAAATGGAAAGGAGGGGAGAAGCTTAATTGGCACAAGCCAAAAAAAAAAAGATTAAATCCCTGAAGTTCACAGAAATCCTCAATGAAGCACGACCCTCTTCTCTTCCTAAACCGACCGACAGTAAAAGAGGCCTAAGCTGCTGCTCTGCCACGCCAGAGCCAGAATTCTTGTGGTTTTTGTGGCCTCTGGCCTTCTCTGACAGGCCCTTGTTTGTCCTCCGTAGTGCCAGCTGCTTGGTGAACACACAGGCTGACTTGACACCGTCCTGCTCTGCATGAAGCAGGCAGAGGAAGCAGAGGTCTTCAGCCAACTGAAGCAGCAGTGATTTTTGCTAAAAGCACAACCTCAACTATAGACATACATGATGAACTCTTCTGGTGATCAGCTTAGTTTATAGAAAACCAAGAAAAACGAAAAGCTGACAGTAGCTATTTCTGTCACTTTTCAAGTGCAACACTATGACTATGTCTTCCAGAAGAGACTATCTGCAAATCTGTGCCATTTTACTGTTGTGCCACCTATTGGTAAAACGCCAGTAAATCTCAGAGTTATTGCAGTTCATGTCAGTAGGCAACCTACAACCAAGACTTAGTAAAGCAATCACAGAAAAACAAATCTGTCTAAATACGGCAAGTTTAGAAATGGAAATATGAAGGATCAGAGCAAAAAAACTTTGTCAAATAACTCAAAATGGTAGAAATCAAGTTCAAGTCTTGTGTGTTATTAGCCTAAACTTAAAATTAGTGCCAACAGGCTGTTAGCAAAATTATATGGTAACCCATGTACCAAAATTATCTGTAGAATTTATTGGTGTTTTTTAGACAAAATGCCCAGGCATCCACATTTTCTATTGCTTCCTATAGAAAATGCTTTTCGCAATCTGTACAAAGACTATTTCAGATTGCTACTAAAAGCTGTAGCACACTGATCCCAATAGGGCCCACTGATTTAATTTAAGTTTTGATCCACAGATGTTCACACTGTTAAAACAGTTTTGAAAACATCTGTTCAACTAGTCCTAATTTCACACACAAAAAGCCCGGAGTTATGAAGTCCCAGCTTTCATTCTGGTGCCACATATTAACACGTGTTAATAACATTTGTTTAACATAATAATGTTTACAGGCAACATTCACCAGTTGGCAACTTGTAAACAAAGCGTGAAAATGGAATCAACAATAAACAACAGTTCTGTCAAAGGTTTGCCACAAAGTCAGATTGGGCGATTTCATTTTATTAAAGTGGTATTCCCATGGGTGTGCCAGGCAGCTGCATGCATCAAAGGCTATGGCATGAGTCTAAGCAGGAGGACCAGAAAGCTGTGAAATAGTTCCTGACCATCCAGCTGCTCACAGGTGGCAGGAAGATGACTGGAGAGCAGCCTCGCAAATCAGACTTCTCACAGTGGATTCTGATGCTGCTGGGAGATTAGGTACTCGGAGAGAGACAGAAATACATGTATCATCGCCATTTAAAGTCATGCCATCACTTTCAAAGCAGTAGAACCTTGTTTGGACCCTTAACCAAACAAGTTGATCAAAATCTTATTTATTGTAGGGCTTTAGGGTGATGGACCTTTAAAGTAATTATGAGAACTTTTCATGTAACAAAATCCCTGTTTTGACAGCTAGCACCAGTTAATATAAGTTTTATGTTAGTATGCTGGTTCCCACTGTGCTGAGAAACATCTGATGCTGCACATAAAGTGATGCATTTTAGGACTGAGGAAGCTGTTATATGTAATACATGATAGATACATGATACCTTAAAGCAAAAATAGTTATAAATAAGTACTACATCGCCAAAGTTTAGAAATTGTTCTGGAGCTTGTTGGCTTGTCAATGTTGCCTTAAAAGCTGAGAAAGTTAAGTACCGTAAAACTAATTAATAGCCGAGTCCCAAATAGCCGCCTACCCCGTTTACTGGCCTGATGGGGGAACACATCGCAGACCTCGATTAAACGCCTGGTCTGGTTTTTAAATATTAATGTTTAAATGTATGATCAATATGTCAGTTTCGACATGTACATATCATTAGATTGGTTAAATTCTCCATAATTCAATCGTTCGGATCATTTAACAGAAACAACATGCCCCAAAGTCTAATTCATATAGATTTACCAGTGTAACTGGCAGGGTATCAGAGATTTTAAAAAAGTGCTGACTCCCGCTCGTTAAGTCCGAATGTGTCCATTCCTTGATTATTAAATTCCTTTAGTCTGAAGGGGTCCATTAATCAAAATTATCAAAACAGCTTTTCATAAAAATTAATCCAATTTGAATCCTGTCCCACACTTCTCACACCCTGCACCGTGTTGTTGTTTTCTTTACGTTGCTGGTTACAAAATAAAAGTGCATAAGCTGTCCGTACGAGCATGAATGACGTGTATTTGATATTATTTGATCATTTTTATACAAGTAATATTCATACTGTTTGACATAAATAAACTGTTTCATTGTAGCCTATTTCAGTTTTGTGCAAAAGGAATTAAAGGCCTGTCCCATATGGATGTCTGTCCCTAACATAGGCAGGGTCAATTCAGTGATTTTAGGAAATAAAACTATTAATCAAATCAAAGTTTTAGTTTTACAGTATTACGTTATACTGCTATTTATTTTAAACTGACTATAATTGATAATTACTTACATTATTCTGAGATTCCCAAATGACTCTTCACTCACCCGGGACAAACTGTACATTGTGTGAAAGCACAAAGCCTCACTCATCACTCACCACCCCTCATCACTGGGAACACAGTTTAATGGTAAAATCAACACTGACAAGAAAAAAAGTCACATTTTTACCATGTTTGTTCCTCTGTAAATTTGGTTCAGTATCACTTCAACTAATTCTGATTTTTTTTTAATAACAACTTCTAAATTACCTGAACACACCAGGACCATTGCTGTAATCAAAAGGATCAGAGGCCATTTTATTGTGTCATTGTCAAGCTTCTGCTTGTTAAGCTGTTGAAATGCTCATCTATGTTTGTAGGTGGTAAGTGGAAAATGTGGAGGTGTCCTTGCCCAGCAGCACTGGTGGGTTTGAACCGATAACCTTTCCACCACTAGCCTGCTTTACTAACCAACACACCCCCATCCTGGCCCACATCTGTTACTAATTTAGATGCTTTAGAGTAGAGACAAAATGTAATTTAATGGTAATTCATTACAGGTCACATCAATTGTTAAAACGTGCCTGAGCAGAGTCAAAATTGCTCTTTGAGTTGTCAACTGTCAAACATAAAGACCAGCAGGAAGCAGCAGGTACACTCATGTTTGTGTTTTGGTGCCCTTGAGTGACGGGGAAATTGCTACAGGGTCACATTTCAAAACATACCATAACACCCCTTAACATTTGATCTTCTTTCTGTGCGTGTACATGCCAAAACCTGAAGACAGGAAAGGCATTAAGAGGATTTTTGATCCCAGTGATCTTTTTTTTCACAGTGCAGATTTGTTTGTTCAGGGATTTCCAAGCACACACAGTTGACAGAAGTTAAGGTTAAGTCATGCCATCACAGTTTCATTGACATAATTGTATAAAAATGATGCAATGCTAATACAATAGAAACTGACAACAAACTTAAGAGCTTAAGTAATGTCTTGCCAAAGATTCTAAAGCAGTAAAAGGATGAGCGTGGGAGCCAAAAGTCAGACTATCTGCACAAGTGAAGCGGTCAGGGCTTGGAGATTGATGGATTCTCAACGCAACACCACAGATGTGCGCTGCAATTTTTCCATGAGCAGAGACAGATTTGCGGTGTGTGTGTGAAACAGAATTTGTCCCAGATTTTCTCTCTTCTTCTTCCTCCCTCTTTGCTCTCCTCTCTTCTCTGCGGGCTGGATGGAGGGAGCTTTGATGTGGCACTCTCTCAGTGTTGTGACCGCAGGCCCAAGAGGAACCAGATGCTCTTTGGACTGGCTTGTGGTGAAGAGGCATATATATATATAAATAAAGAAAAGAGAGAGAGAGAGAGAGAGAGAAGATGGGTGCTGGGCTACAGGGGGGCTGCCTCCATGCTAGCAGAGTTTACTGTAAAAGTTTTCTGCACCAAAGCAGACAGAGCTGGGAGTCTGGGTATGTTAACAGACAGGGCATTGTAACAGGAAAACATCAAGTCGTCAGCAAACATGGGCATATATATAATTGGGTTCAAGACCCCAAGAACAGCACCAGATTTTTCCACACACTGAGCCATCACAAAAACACTGAGATATAAAATTTAATTGATCAAACCTTTAAGTCCAGCAAAAGGGCAGCATAATTATCATGCTGAATGGGTTAGCTCTCCCAGATTAGGCATTTAATGTGCATGCTTAAAAACAACCAAAAAATGTGTAAACCTGATGTGCTGCCATCTTCAAATAAGCTATTCTAATTTAAGTTAGTTATGTGAATTATGTACGTTATGTAGCTAATGTACGTTATGTAGCTAACGTCTGTTATGTAGAATAAAGCTGGTGTTTTTGAAAAAAATTTAAAATTAGTCAAATAGAATAAAAGGGATAAAATAAAGTCAAATAAGATCGGGAAAGGCTCTCCTATAAAAGTATGTTTTAAGAAGGGACTTAAAACATACTTTTAAAAGAGTTCACTGACTCAGCTGACCTGATTTCCTCGGGCAGGCTGTTCCAGAGCCTCGGGGCCCTGACAGCAAACGCTCTGTCCCCTTTAGTTTTTAGTCGAGACTCTGGAACAGACAACAGACCTCTGCCCGAGGATCTCAAGGTACGTGCTGGTGTGTATGGGACTAAAAGTTCAGAAATATAACAAGGCCAGAGGCCATGAAGAGTTTTAGAAGTGATCAATAGAATTTTAAAGTCAATTCTAAAACATACTGGGAGCCAGTGTAATGAAGCTAAAATAGGAGTAATGTGGTCATATTTCTTTGTTCTGGTTAAAAGCCTGGCAGCTGAGTTCTGGACAGTCTGTAGTCAATCAATAGATTTTTGGTTTAAACAGGTGAAAAGGCTGTTGCAATAATCCAGGCGTGATGAGATGAAGGCGTGTAAAATGGTCTCGGTGTCCTTAAAAGTTAACATAGATCGAATTTTTGCTGTTGATAAAAACATGATTGAACAAGCTTTGTGGTGTGCTGCTCGAAATTTAAATTACTATCAAACCAAACACCAAGGTTCTTTGCAACAGGCTTAATGTGATTTACTAGGGAACCAGCAGATGGCAGTATTTGATTTGCCATCTGCTGGGACCCGATGACCAGGATTTCTGTTTTGTCTGTGTTTAGCTGGAGGAAATTATTTGACATCCATTTTTTTACTTCACAAAGGCGGTTGTTAAGTGAACTCAGCATTCCAGGGTCTGTGGATCTGACAGGCAAGTATATTTGTTTGTCATCAGCATAAATATGAAATGCCGTGTTTATGGATAATATGTCCAAGGGGAAGCAGATACAAGGAAAACAAAATGGGTCCTAAGACCGACCCCTGAGGCACACCATATTTAACTGGACAGAACGAAGAGACATAGTTGTTTACAGACACGCAAAACTTCCTATTTGACAGGTAGGATGAAAACCATTCTAAGGCAGTACCAGAGATCCCCACCCAGTGCCTCAGTCTGTCTAACATGATGTTGTGATCAATGGTGTCAAAAGCAGCGCTAAGGTCCAGGAGTACCAGGACTGAGCACATACCTTCATCAGCAGACATTAAAAGGTCATTGGTGACTTTAAGCAGGGCAGTCTCAGTGCTGTGGTACTTCCTGAAACCAGATTGAAACTTTTCAAATATTTTGTTATCAATTGATCTGACAAATCAAAGGCTCTTCCACAAAAATGAAAGAAATCTAGTATTGTGGCTGTCGCAGGACTATAATAGGCACGGGCAATCGTTTCATTTGGTCCAAATAAAATGAATGGCTGGTTTATCTACCCGTCTACATGTCTCCCTAACTGTGCCACTCTCTCCATGCACTCAGTGTGCATGAAAATGGGTTTGGGGGAGGGCCTATGGAGGGAGGCTTGAATGGTGATGGTGGATTTTTTTTCGGTTGGATACTTTTAAAATCTAGCTGCCTCTTGCTAGTTTCTCCAAAGTTTTCTACCTTAGCTTTAACTTAAGTCAACGTTGACTATTGGTTTCACACAGGTAACAAACACCTCAACTAGCTCCCTGCATGGAATTTGTCGCTCCTGACACTGACCTGAGATATGTTGCTTGTAGTGTTAAAATATTATGCTAAAGGGGTACCCAGTCTGTTAAAAAGTGATGCCAAGTGAGACCCGCAACATTTCAACCATCACGGAACTCAATTTAGCAGCTGTTTTTGGTTGTGGCTCGCACCCATTGGGATACATCATTGCTAACTGATTAAAAATGTTAAATTTGTTTTTTCAACAAATGGCTGGATGTTGAGTCAGAATATGAATGGTCTGTATATAGTCTGTATTTGTAAAGCTCCTTTCTAGTCTTACCGACCACTGAAAGTGCTTTACAATACATCACATTCACACCATCCACACATTCCTACACTGATGGGTGTAAGGTGCCAGCTGCTCACCAGAAACAGATATTCACTAATTCATACACATTCACACACATGGTACAGCCATCGAGAGCCATTTTGGGAGCAATTTGGGGTTCAGTGTCTTGCCCAACGACACTTCGACAAGCAGACTGGAGGAGCCGGGGATCAAACCACCACCCTACTGAAAAGTGATGGCCGCTCTACCCCCTGAGCCACAGCTGTCACCAACAACAGTAAAAAGAATATAGTATCTCTCACCACAACAACATGTGAGTCAGAATCTGACAGACACATAGACAGAAGAAGATTTTATATTGAGGAAAACTGTTCTATTTAATGCCCTGGACTGTGATTTAATGAGGAAGTTAAAAATCCAGATCCTGACGAAACACCAGTTCAGAATAACAGGACTACGACATTTAAACTTTATTTGAAACATTTTAAGCAACTGGTTACATTTAACTGACTATCTTTCTGTTGACTTGTGTACGTTTGCTTCAGTTTGCAGTTTCCTACATTTCCCAGAATGACTTATGACAACACCCAAAGAACATGCCTGAACTTGCTCCTTTCGGCTGTGGTTTTTCTGTGTAGGTGGAGGGAGTGATGGTGGCAGTAAGTGGCAGTAAAAGCCGGAGTTATTCTGGTCCCAAAAGGGGGGGGGGGGGGGGGGGGGGGGGGGGGGGGGGGTACTGTTACACAAAATGCTGCATGTTTTGTTGTTTGCAATACTGACGACACGAGACTACAGTCAATAGAGGAACTCGTTTTATGCAGTGGAATTTCTACAAAGGAGATGAACCCTGAAGTTTATAGTTTGTGATTAAGATCATTAAACTCATCAAACTCCATTGTTTGAGAAAAACCCTGCAAAACAATAAAGCATTTACTGTACATCTCCAAAGGTTGTGAAAAAAACTTTTTTTCTGAGTTGACTTTTCCTTTGAGGACACTTCTGCAGGCTGAATATTTGCCGACACAGCAGGTTTGTACCCCTGTCCTGTGTTTGAAGGACAGTCTGTCTGACCACCAGGCCACCTACAACCACACTAGCAGGATGGCAGAACACAAGCTGAATCAAATCCGTCTCCCCCACGACTCTCCATAACCGCTCGTACTGTACCATTACACAAACCTCATAATAGTTTTGATTTATGACCCTCATGTGACACTGTGGAGTTTGGCAGGAAGCCTATGCAGCTCCATCTTCAGGCTTTGACCACAAAAAACATAAAGGCGTACATTAAGAATTTCCCTTGGGTTGCCGGTCACTGGAGACAGTGATGTAGCTGAGAAGACATGAAAAGCAATAAAGCTATAGACATTGAGATCTGACCTCTTTAAAATGATTCCCACCTCTGAGCAAAGTCAGTCTTTCCACCATCTTCCTCTCTCTTCTTCATTAGCTTCCTCTTTCCGTTTCTTTCTTTCTCCGCCACTCTCTGTGAGGCACACATGACATGAAGTGTTTATCCCACATGTCAAATAACTGTTTATGCAGTAAACCAAAGGAGGGCCATGCAATGGCAGGGTAACGAATACTAGATGCTAAGTACAATGGAATGATCCAACTGTTTTGATTGGAGGGCAATTGAAACCGGCAGAGAATAAACAGAAACAACTAAGAGCTGGTTTTGTTTATTAAAGATGAAGACAAATAAAGAGAGAGCATGTTTTGTGAGTGACTGCGATTGTCTGGAAATTTCAAGAGGTTTTAAATAAGCTGCAAGCTCAGAATCACTTTTATCGTCAAGCTTAATAAACACAGCAGTTTGTCTTCTTTATGTTGGTGCGGATGCGTATTGACAACATAGAAGTTTGCAATACAGCTTGACTTACTGGTACAAAGACCGCATGACAACACATGCCTTCCAAACAGAGAGAGAGAGAGGGGAGTGACATGAAACAAATGGTCAGAACCAAACTGCGGATGTTGTGATGATATGGGTCTTAACAACTAGGTGACCAAGAACAACAATTTTTCTAGATATAACTACATAACACTACAGTTGTCTAACTTAGAGTGAGGCATACGTTTTAAGAAAATTATGCCCAAATACAATGTGAATCAAAGACCCTCTGTCTGGACTTAAACCTGGGATGTTGCAGATACTTACACTCCTGACCCAAGCTCTTTTTATTCTTTATTGTTTGGTGTATTTGACAAAATTCTTCTGTAGGACTGTATTCCATTTTTGACTTGCAAACTTTTCAGGCAAGTGTTTGCTTTATTTCAGGTTTCTGACCCTACCAGTTTCTGTCATTTTCACAAAGGTTTTTGTAAAAAACCTGTGAAAATGGAAAATGCACCTAAAACTGGTGGATGGAATCAGTCTTATGTGTATCTAACTGTAGGGTTCGACTACAAGAAGACTGCTTTTCAATAACATAAAGATGACTTATACAATGGTCAGTCAAGTCCTATGAAGGCTGGAATTAAACTTCCACAGAGATACATGTAAAAATGGACCTATGCAAAGAAGGGTGTTGTGGTCACAGAGGCTCACAGAGGAGCAGACGTGTCCAAATGTCAGCAGCATGTCGTGCAGACTTGAGCATCAAGCAAGCTGATTGGTTGGTTAATTGGTTTGAAATTGAAAAAAACTAACAATTACATAGTATGTAAAAGAAATATGCACAAGTACAAAAAGAAGCATCCATGCGCACAACCCCCTTGCACATTCCCCTTTGTGCGGTTTCAGAGAAGCATGTTTAAATTAACCTATGGTAGCAAGTTAGCCTTTCATGTACAAACTAGCCACGTGTGCCTTTGGCTATCTAAGCGCTCATGTTTCAAGCGATTTACTGTCAATGTCTCTGATAACAAGATTGCAGAGTTTGAGTTAACTTGAATGATAAATAAATTCATATTATCATTTTGTTTGACCACAGGTCTCATTTGCTCTTCAACCTTGCCAGGTCGCTAACAAGTCCCTATATTTGTGGCTCTTTGGCTCCACTCTCTGATATTTAACTCGTCCAATAAAATTTTCCCTGCCTCAGACAAATCGTTGTGTAGCCAACCCTTCAAGATGCTCGTTTAAGAGTTTTAAAATGCAGATTTGTTTTCCAGTGAGCATCGAGTCAGACGAAAGTCGTTGACAGAGCAACTCCAAAACTATGCCAGTGGTTTATTTTATGTGGAAAAGTTGTGCCAATTTAAGGATCCTCTTTGGTTTCCTTCTTAAAGATCAAAGGCTCCGGGCTAATCTATTTGACTGGGCCCTGCTGTCTCCACGACAACAAGATCAGAGACAGGAAGCCTGCCTTTCCTTCACAGGCCCTTGTCATCAACAATGCAACCACTCAGCAGTGTCTGACTCTCACATAAGTCACTGTGTATGTGTACGTATGTATGCATCCCTGTTTGCATTTTTGGGTGCATGTGTGTGTAACTCAACACGACAAAACCCAAAACCTTTCTCATTTTCCTTGTGTGTGTTTGTGCATGAGGTTGCTGGGGTTTTTTTCACTTTGGAGTGAAACACAATCTCAGCTACCATTCTTTTTATCCTCAGTGTGAGTGTGTGTGTGTGTGTGTGTGACGTAAGTGAGAGAGTGTTGAGTTCTGCTTCACTGACCCAGAAAACATCTTTAAATGTTGCGTTCTTAGGTCACTATGGAGCCCCCTGTGTTTGGCCAGCACATGATTAGAAACTAAGGCCAAGCCTTTTTTTCTTTGGCTCAAAGTCCTTCTTTTGGAAAAATCCAGATATTTCTTTTCTGTAAAGGTTTCTACCAACAATATTTTATGCATACACTGTGTGTGCTTTTAGCTTTTAAGTTGTGAAGACAAAAATCGCAAGGTTCAGTATGCTTCAAACTAAGTCATTGTGCAAAGTGTGGTCCAAAACACATTTAACGGCAAGAGCAGGCTTGAAATTTCATAATTTTAGGGGGAAGGCCACTTGGCCCTTGGTGCTGTCAATTGAGTTGAGGGCACATAGGCCAAATGACTGGGCTAGCAAGGCCAGCAAATAAAATGAAAAGTCCACAGAAATTATGAATTTATCTTAAGGGTTATTGATGATTATTTTGTGCCTGTGGAGCATCAAGGCCACTGTGGCTGCAGGACATATCAAGTTCTTGAGTGGCATGAGGCCAATCTGAGGGGGCATGGCCTTCATGAAATACCTGCCCTGGGCAAGAGTGTCTGTTACTGTTCTGAATGGTAACTCAAAGGCAGGGCAAGAAGCTTATTGTCATATGGAGCCAGAAAAGATCATTGAAAATCGCATCGGCATTTGTAAAAAGACAAATAACTGAAAATTCAGCCTCAGAAAATAATTTTACTCATATGTATGTTGTGTGATTCACTCCATATATCTAGATAAGGACAATGTTCTTTAAAAAAGTAATTTAATGTCCTTTTTTATTCACTATTTCTGTTTTTAGTGGCCTTTGATAAATCCCTACACCATCACAGTTGTAACATCACGGCTCAACTAAAGAGGTGAATCTATGTGCGAGTCGAGGCACTGCAGTTAGCTCAGACATGTTTTGTAATAACAGTAATTGCAACTAAATTATTGGTAAAATTATTGCTCCTCACTCATGCTCTCTCTGCTGCTCCCATCAAAGGCGCTCAGAGTCAACATGCTCAGTGTTGCTCCGTGCACAAATAAGATATCTCCCCGCTCAACTCAAATCGGTCATCACTTGTTTCAAATAAAGGAAATAGATTAGTGTGTATTTTTTGCATAAACCCTAGCCTGGCATCCAAAAGAACTGAGCATCAAAAACCACATTTGAGCAGTACCAGAGCAAAACTAGAGCGGGATGTGAAGCTTTGTTAGTTTTGCAAGGTTTGCAAAGATTTAACCTTATGTGCTCAGGGTCCTTAAGGTTCACAGTTACTAGTCGAGCTGTGAGCACAATGTGCAGATCATCACCTCACTCTCCTCCCGGCCATTGCCTGATGAGAACAGTGTGTCACAGACTTTTTGTCATCTAAAGGATTGTTTCAAGCTGAATGTGAACAATATCATTTGGATGCCTGTAGGCCTTTACGGACTGAGGGATTGTTGAGTCTGTGTCCCATTAAGGATCTGCAATAATCTTATGATTGAAAGATGGAATGAGGCTGTGAAAGCTGGAGGGATCAGCTGCAGTACATTAGGACTTAAAGCCTGACAAATCTCGCTATTCTGGGTTCAAGGAATAGATTCCATGGTGTCCAACTAACCGGATTTTTCCCTCTCCACTCCATCTTGTTTGCATAACATCAAGAACTGGGTAAATTGAAAAGATAATCCCCATTCTTTTATGTGTTACTGTGGGGTATGTGGTGCTTTGTGCATTGAAGTAGAAGCAGTAGACATAATTTACAGTATGAGCCCCATCTGTGAGTGGGATCTGTGGCAACTGTTTTTATGGCTTGTTGTTTGAGCTTTTTTAAGTACAAGGTGGTTTTGATTTGGCCATAAGTACATAAACATTTAGCCTCACCATTTTAAGTCATACTTTATAAAAGGTTAATAAGTTGGTAGAAATGGCTTTTAAGATGGTAATAATTAGACTTCATAGATCACCAAAAGTAATTAATAAAAACAACATTTGGGTTGTCAGGTTGCAATAACATGCCTTTGGCTGGCCATAGAGGTGGCATATCAGGAAACAATGACATGAATCGTTTTTTTGTTAGTCATTTTTAACAGTTTTGGAATGCCCTGACAAACAATGTTGTCCTGATAATAGGGAGGCCAAATCAGAAGATCATATAGGTCACTTTAGAAGGCATTGACAAACAACCTGCTTTGACATTAGCATCCCAGTTGGTGTCCTTCATGTGGCTGGTCTGTCAGAGCACCTAAGTTTCCAAGTCAGATGTCAGACGGGCTACAGCAGCAGAAGACCACACTGGGTGCCACTCCTGTCAGCTGAGAATAGGAAACTGAGGCTTCAATTCACACAAGCTCACTAAAATTAGACAACTGGAGGAGATTGGAAAAACGTTGATGAGTCTCGATTTCAACTACGACTTTCAGATGGTAGGGTCAGAATTTAGTGTAAACAACATGAAGGCATGGATCCATCCTGCCTTGTATCAATAGTTCAGGCTGCTGCTGCTGGTGTAACGGTGTGGGGGATATTTTCTTGCCTCACTTTGGGCCCTTTAGTACCAACTGAGCATTGTTTACAACAGCCTTCCAGAGCCTTCGTTGCTGATCATGTCCATCCCTTTACCACAGTGTACCCATCTTCTGATGGCTACTTCCAGCAGGATAATGCACCATGTCACAAAGCCCAAATCATCTCAAACTAGTTTCTTAAACATGACAATGAGTTCACTGTACTCCAGTGACCTCCACAATCAACAGATCTCAATCCAATAGAGACACCTTTGGGATGTGGTGGAATGGGAGATTTGCATCATGGATGTGCAGCCGACAAATCTGCTGCAACTGCATGTTGCTATCATGTC